TATATATATATATAATATTATATATATATATATTATATAAATAAAGATCATGTGAGTTATCTTATGATAAACATTTCTGGCCAATATCCAATGATAAACGATAATTTTTTGGGGACAATGAATAATCTAAATCCTTATTGAGATTGTAGACTTCGATCAGTCAAATGATAGTGATTGTTCAACATGATTATAATCAATCTTTGGTTTATAATGAGGTTGATACACCGAAAACAAAATAAACAAAACTAATCTAAAGCAAATATATATATTCTTTTCATACGAATCTATCTTATAAATATCTGTCGGCATTAAATAATCCATTGAGGTTGATATGCCGTAAAACAAAATAAACCAAAACCAATCTAAAAAGCAAAAATACATATTCTATTCATTTTCTATCGTTTTCATATATTGAGAAATATAAATAACATCAGCAGTTGATATACAAAAACAAAATAAACCAAACCAATCTAAAGCAAAGAATACAATGAAATATTCAGGTTTGATCAACCGTAAATTAAAAAAAAACATAAAACATACTCAAATTTTATAGGTTACTTTGGAAAAATTATTTATTTATTATCATTGTGTGAAAAAGAAAACAATCAAAAAAAAAAAGAATAAAGCCTTAAGAACATTAATCAGATAAGACATTTCCATGGCATTTCTATCAGAAAACTAATATAAACCGCCGACTTGACAAGTTTTAATTATAAATAAATTTAAGAGAATGGTGGGGCTCAGTTAACGCAGTTCGATCAGACGATATCCGATTGGATGTATTTATAACATTCGTCCTGAATTTTTATCCAAAAACTGCAAATTTTTACAAATCATATAATTTTTAAAAAAAAATGACGACTGCTTTCCAAGAACAAATAAACATGCATGAACCGCTTTCTTTCAGTATTGTATTGTTATGCTCAGGGAACTGACAAGCAAATCTGTATTATTGAACGGGATATTAACTCAATCCCAACTTACGGGGCCAAAATGTTATATATACATATGAACATATATCGATTGTATTATGACTTAAAACCATTTTTTAATTTTCCTTAGAAAAAATATATTTTAAAAGCCATGCAAAATTCACAATAACTGAAAAAGTAACAATAGACACAAAAATAACTTTCGAAAAATACTGGAGGAACATGAAGACAAATGAATTTTCGGCCTATCAAAAGCTTTGAAAGACTTACTTAAAAAGAAATTAAATGAACTCAATTAAATATGTATATATTATTACAATTTTCAGATAAAAATATATTTTCTAAATTTTACTATAAATATGTATTTTTTGATTTTCATATTTTAATAAAATAAATGATGTTGGTTTTTTACTATAAATTTTGATATTCTCAATTTACTATAAATATTTATTGTTGGCAAAAGAAAAATATTTATTGTTGGTAATTTTCTATAAATATGTATTGTTGGCTATTTTACTATAAATATGTATTGTTGGTAATTTTATTATGAATATATATTGTTTTGGTAATTTTGTTTTAAATTTATGTAATTTATTTTAGATAAAAATATATTTTTTATCTTAATTCAAAAATTTTGTTTCATGGCCTTTTTACACAATGAAAATTTAAAATTTTTATATTAGCTATACTCCAAACAATGTTAAAACCTATTCCATCAGTGGAATTCTGGAAAAAAATAATTAAATGTCATTTCCATCTCAATAAAACCTAAATTTTTTTATGTATCAATTACTGAATAATTTTAGAAAATAAAAATTCCATCCTGTGTCCCTCTGGATCCTTTTCTTATTTCTGATCTTATAAATAACAA